AATTAGAAAAAGAGTTAGAAATCTAAGAGTTGGAATAAGAGGAATTAGAATTCTAAGAATTAGAAGATTTAGAATTCTAAGAATTAGAAGAAAATAAAAAATAAATTTTAGATTAAAGTTAATTATCTAAATTAACTTACTTTTTAATTATCTTCGTCTACTTCTTAGAATTTTTTAAACAAAATTTCTTCTTTTTAGAATTCTTAGAATTAGAAGAAGATAAAAAGAAAAAATTAAACCGAGCTCAAAGTTAATCTAAATCGGTAAAAATAGACAAAGCGACTCGTCGAGTTTGGAGTCGACTACTCGTATGCTGGCGCAGGTGCAGGCGCAGATACTGGCGGATGAGGTGTAGCCGACCGCGTGCGTCGTGCGAGTATGACGTGACGTTTGCTACCAATGCTACCTTCGTCAGCTGACCGCGAACAACCGTTTTGTAACCGGCGTAATCGCCGGCCGAAGTCGACCGAGGTCGACGCTAAAATATTAAAACACGTGCTTTCACGAATCTCCGTACTCTCACTACTCTCGCACTGTCGTGACAGTCCGTGATATGCACGAGTCCGACTTGTTAATCGCTTACTTTTAGGTTAATAATCGTATGTCGCGCGGTAGATAAAATCAAAAGATAATGGAACGCTTGGGAAAGAAATGTCACGTCGCGTTTGCGTTGCGTGCCTTTTAGTGACACGTTTGTGCGCGTTTCTCTGTCAATCTCTTGAATAATGGGAGTTTACGGCTTGTGGAAGTTGCTCGACGCATCCGGAAAGCCGGTACCCTTGGAGAGCCTCGAGGGCAAGGTCTTGGCGATCGGCAAGTATCGATATCTATGATATACAAGTCTTGTCGCAAAAGATCGAATATAATTTTGAACCCTATTTAATTCCAAAGTTAAAAGATCTTGATAAGTTCTGGAAACGCGAGACAAGATTGTCCGTTACTCGTTCGGCTTTAATGTCACTCTGAAGTACAATTATAGAACAGCAAACTTTTACATAACTTTTATATTATATGTTTTTTACATACAGATATATCGATATGGATGTACCAAGTGTTGCAAGGATACCAGGATCGTCATGGCGCTCCCAGACCTAACGCCCATCTGCTTGGATTATTTAGCAGGATATGCAAACTTCTGTATTTTAAGATCAAGCCCGTCTTCGTCTTCGACGGAGGCGTACCCATGCTCAAGAAAAACACAATTGTAAATACGCAACGGATTACATTTTCTTTAACCGGCGAATAATTAACGATCCCTAACTCGTGCGTTTAACGCAAAGGAGATGCGTTATATATTGTATGAATCTTGTGCGCTATGCATTTACGTGCGCAAGCTAAACTGTTCCTTCTATCTTGATTATAATATTGTTCGTACTTAATTAGCTCACCGTGGGAACCAGGTAGTGAGAAAAGAGCCTCCACCAATTCTTTTGTGTTCGCAGGCCTCGCGCAGGAAGCAGAAATCTATTGCCACGAGTAAGGCGCAGAAGATGAAGACGGATTTGATACACAACTTGATAAGGCACAGCGTTGTAAAAACCGCTCTCAACAAGGATTCCAAGGATCGGAATGGCGAGGCGATGCAAATATCGATAAATATGCAAACCAAACGTTCCGACGAGGATATGTTCGCTCTGCCCGACATGCCGGGCGTCAGCAACGCGCAGAGTTATGTCGATGACGATGAATACGATTCCGACGATTCCTTTGCCGAACTGAGTCCGCGGAAGCAATCTAAATGGATGGGAAACATACATAGCGTTGATGTAACCAGCAACGAATTTAAAGCGTTACCCGCGGATGTTCGTTACGATATACTCACTGACCTCAAAGAAACGAGGAAACAAAATTCTTGGGGTCGTTTGCACGAGATGCCTCAAGTATGTACAAATATGATAGATTATGAATCATGCATATCATGTGTTCCAAGTAAATTTTGTATTATGTATGTTTTAAATATATTGTATTTATAGGAATCGCAAGAGTTCTCAGGCTTCCAGTTGAAACGGTTGCTCAAACGTAGACACGTGCAGGAGTCTTTAGAATCCGCCGAGAAGGAAATGGGTGGAAAGACACTGACGTTGGAGGAGCTGGACAAACTACTGACTGAACAAGGCGTCGATACAAAGGGCAGAGACGCGGCTTTTCGAATAGCCGCGGATAATACAACTAGATTGATTTATATCAGTGGTATGCGCACCAAACGTTGAAACGTTTTGAAGTTTTATTTCGCTCTTCTGATATATTTAATAATGAATTGTATATATTGTTTCACGCAGACAAGAACGCGTTAGCAATGAAATCTCCGAGCGAATCAGAGGTGGATAGAAGTGAGTTGCAGGATGCGAATGAAGAAGTTGAACCTGTTGCTGGCCCAAGTAATACCACGTCAATTGCAGAAAACATTAACGAGTATGAATTAAATGATTCCGATAGTGAGGCCGATTTTACAATCTATGACGATTCTCTACCTATCGTCGAAAATATAAATGAATACACGTTTGACAGCGATTGGGAATCCGAAGAGGAAATAAACGAAGATGATATAAATGATACAAACAAATCATTGGCATTATCGGGGAAAAATAAGACAAATCCTGCATTAGCATACATGTTGGAGTACAGCGGCTTGTCGCAGAATCAAATTATGCATCTTATTAAACGTAATAAAGATAAAAATCACAAAACTGCAAATAAAAGCGTAAAAGCACTCGCGAAAGATAATTGTATAGAGCTGGCAGAAACCACAAAGCCAATGGATGATAAATCGATGTCAACACTTTCTGAAAATTGCGAGGAAATTTTAGAATTACAGAGCACGAGAGATGCATGTACGACTAAAGAGAATGTGACCATTGAATCGATTCCGTCTAGTCCAATGGATGATAAATCGATGTCAACACTTCTTGAAAATCGTGAGAAAGTTTTGGAATCACAGAGCATGAAAGATGCACATAAGGCTGAAGAGAATACGGCCATTGAATCGATTCCGTCTAGTCCAGAATCGGATAATCTTGCTGAAATTGTACCATTAAGAGATAATGCCGAGGCTTTAAATATTATAACGTCCGACAGCTCAAATTTGGACAAAGAAATAATACCTGAGGAACGTTCTCCTGCCGCGAAGTCTAACGATGTAACACAGATAGATACGTCGGATTCCGATTCTGACGATTTCATCGAAATACAAGATGTCCCGATACCCGATATGAACATTTCAAGGAACATCACGAAAAGAAAGGATATTGAGATAACTTTCAAGTCCAATAAAAAACCAGAGGACGATATGTTTGCCGATATATTTGAGAATGTATATGAAGAGAGAGTTGCGCCAGTTCGGAGTCCGGAGCAAGTACAGCTTGTCGATACGGTGAACGGGGAACACCGAACACAATTAATTTCGAAAGACAGTAATAATTTCAAAAATAATTTCTTGGATACCATACCTGAGGAATCGATCGAGGAAGAAACAAAAACCGAATTGCCAGAAAATGTTCAGTTGAGCGAGAATATGTCGAATGGTGAAGACAAAATACGCGACACCCAGAACTCTGATAAATCAATAGAGCGAGATAATACAGATACGCCTACGCCTACGCCTAATCCTCTTCACGAATGTACGCAGGAGAAGCCAGCAGTAGTATTACCCACTAATGAAAAAGATTTGACAGAATTGAAGGTAAACTCAACATTATTCCTGTAAACAGGTAAACGATTGTTTCATTGTATTTTTATTCATTTATCTGATACGAGTATTTTTTAATTACAGGGACAATTAGAGGATGAGCAAGAAGAACTCGCAAGAAGCATTGGTAAGCTCGAGAGGCAAGCTACCAACATTTCTGACCAAATTAAAATCGATGCACAGGTATGAAACTTGAAAACATATAGAGAGCGATGTACGTCGTACCTTTTTGAATTGTTGTTTGCACGCGTCATATTATATTTGTTTATAGGAACTGCTACGTTTGTTCGGCATACCGTACATAGTAGCTCCCATGGAAGCGGAAGCACAGTGCGCGTATTTGGAACAAATCAAACTAACCGACGGCACAATTACAGACGATTCTGATATCTGGCTGTTTGGAGGCCAATGCGTATATAAGAATTTTTTCAACCATAACAAAAAAGTATTACAATTTCGTGCCTGTGATATTCAACATCATTTTAGTAAGCATCGTTACATTTATTGTTATCTTAAGATCTAGAGTAGCATTAACATGATATATTTATTTGTATATATATTAATTTTATAAGAAATTATATGTAAATCAAGTGTCATAGGTTTAATAACAAAACAATTACATATTGCAGAACTCAGCCGCAATCAATTGATACAATTGGCCCTTTTGGTTGGCAGTGATTATACCGCAGGGGTGACTGGCGTTGGACCAGTTACCGCGCTAGAAATATTAGCCGCGTTTCCGGCCGATGGAGATAACGTATTACACGGGTTGCATAATTTTTGCTCGTGGATAAAGAAAGGAATGGTTTTCGCTCCTGGGAAAACTGGTTTACGCAATAAATTGCGAAACGCGAAATTGGACAGAGGTAAGCGATAGTCTCACCCAGAAACGACCGATAAAGAATGAAGTAAGTGAAATATGTGATCGTCAGTAGCATGACCGACTACTTACTTTACAGATTTCCCAAATCAAGCGGTTGTCCAAGCGTATCTCTTTCCCACGGTCGACGAATCTAAGGAAACTTTTACCTGGGGTAAGCCGAACGTCGTGCTTCTTTGCGACTATACCAGGCGGAAGTTTGGATGGACGAAAGGCAAGTTCGACGACACGATGATACCGGTATTGAGGAGAATGGAAGAAAACAAGAATCAAAAATTATTGGACATGTACTTTAAAGCGAAAGCGTCTCCGCGCTCGATCGAACCGAACTTAAGTAAGAGAGTGCAGAAGGCCCTGCGCAGATTGAATAACGATAACGTGGATGCGGATGGCGACGTGGACGACAACGTAGACGGAAAACCTCGACCTAAGAAAATTAAAAGGAGCGGTGCTGCCCGAAAGTCAACCGAAAATCAGGCCTTGCGTAGATTAAATAGCGATAATGTGGATGGCGACATAGACGACAACGTTAATGGAAAACCTCTCCCTAAGAAAATTAAAAAGAGCAATGCTGCCCGAAAGTCAAGCGAGGAAAAGAATTCAGTTACTGATTCAGTTACCGAACTCGAAATATCGACCTGTGAAGGAACACCGCCTGTTAAAACGAGCACCATCCCCGAGAAACTTGTTAAAGCCGTTGCTGAGAAGAAACCTACCAGGGAATACATACCGCAACGAGAGAAAGATAGGGAATGTGCGTTAGAAAGGAAATTGCACGCTATAGAAATATTTAGAAAATCGAAACAGGGCTTAGGCAAAACGAGAAAGATGAAAAGTAAGGTACGAAAAGTCACAGAACAGGCAGAACTATCGGAGAGCGATAGTAATTAGACCTGTTTGATAAAAGAAGGAAAATTGCACGTTTTTTTTAATACTCTTTTGAAATGTATTGTTACGTCGTGTATATATATATCCCATTATTATAATGTAAATGTAAAGTATTAGTTATAAGTTATAGCGGGGTAGCTAGCCGAAGACCCTTTTGTACATTTTTTTTTCTATTACAAGGGTGTAAATTATTTTTTATTGATATAATGCGCGATAATACACTTACTTTGCCGACAACATATTTTTTTAGGTTTCTATGTCATCGATATAATGCAATAAATAAATTAATTATTAATTTTGTGCAACAACATAACATATAATTTATTTATTCATTTATTATTATTATTATTTTAGAAGATTGTAAACTTGTTGCTCATTAAAATTTTTCTTTACGCATTCTATGTATATGTATATGAATATTACACGAAATATTATTTTCTGCATAAAAGTTGATTATTTATTGATCTCATTTATTGATTACGCAGCGCAATTAACTATATAAAAAGAAAATATAAATATATGTTGTATAATATATCATGATAGTTTGAGGAGGGTTTGATTCTCTGCTAATGGTATCGATCGTACATAACGACGTCGACGTCTTATCTCGGCGTCTCGACGCCGAGCGTCGCTACGGTATAAATAGTATACCGGCGGGGGCGGCGGGACCGGCGGTACCGATCGCTCCGTTCCTTTGGGAGAAGTTGGGTGGTTGGGAGAAGTAAACCGAACCGCGGGAGAAGCGAGGAGCAGGAGCGGAGCGCGCGCGTTCAAGGCAGTGGGCAGTGGGATCCAAAACAAGCGATGCTCAAGCTGAACGGACGCTCGCGTCCCTTGGCCGGTTGTCGCATCGCGGGTGAGGAACGACGCGAGGGAGAGGCGCGGCGCGAGATCGATTCGTCCCAGTTCCCGTCGTCTCGTCGTCTCGTCTACCAGGAGGTATCCCGTGAGTCTCGTAAGTCTCGCAGCAACGCGACTCTCCGCGGCGTCTTTCCCTCCTCCCCCTCCAGTGCCTCCAGCGGTCGCGGACGCGGCGCCGGCAGCCCCCGTGCCACGGGAACGTGGACGATGTAGAAGTCGTCCCACCGGCCCGACCTCGTCCCTGCCGTTCTCTCTCACGACCGCCGCGTCGGGGATGTCGGCACGGCCACCAGTCGCGAGCACCATCATCACCGTCGACGGCCGCTCGCAGCAGCGCAGTACCGAGGCGAACGTAGCGAAACCCATCCCTGGGAGATGTCTTGCAGCGATGGCGCGCGCCCGACACGTAAATTCGGCACCAAGTCGCCGAAGAAGCTGTGCGTGACCAAGAGCGAGAACGGCGACAAGACGACGACGACGATCAGCCACTGCGCCGGCCACCGTCACAATCACTATCATCACACCCACCACCGCTTCCTGGACGGCGCCCAGCCGTCGGTGCACAAGCGCAATCTCTACATCGTCTCCTTCCCGCTGATCCTGCTGTTCAACGTGCTGCGCACCCTGCTGTATCAGCTGTTCGTGGTGTTCAAGTACCTGTACACCTCCACGTCCCAGCTGATCCAGCGCAGGCAGGCGTCCAAGCAGACCTGTCAATTGGAGATTGTTGTAGGGCAGAACCCGGCGGATGGTCGTTTGATCAATGGTAATCGGATAGAGAACGAGGTCATGTCGCAAGTGCCTAGACGTCCCATGGGGCCTGGTCCCGGGGATCCTTTGCTGGCCAAGCAAAAGCACCATCATCGCCGAGCGTTCGAGTTTATTAGCAAAGCGCTCAAGATCGACGAGGACAATGAAGGTAAGTTGTTTCACTCGGGGCACACAATTTGATTGAAGAAAGTGAAGAACAAGTTGCTTTGTACAATTACAGTCTAAACTTTGCACTTAAATTTTTATGCAGTTTAACCAACTGCTCTCTAATTGATCTTGTTACTGGTTTCAAACAGGACAAAAGGAGATGGCGATAGAACTGTACAAAAAGGGAATCGGAGAATTGGAGAAGGGAATAGCTGTGGAGTGCAACGGCGGACACGGCGAGGTGTGGGAGCACGCGCAGAGACTCCACGACAAGATGTGTACGAATCTGGCGATGGCGAAGGACAGGCTCGACTTCCTCGGTTAGTACATCTCGCTGCTACGCATCCTGCTCCGCACATTGGCGTTTCTCAAGCTACTTCAAGCTTTACTTTACTTACTGGTACAGACAGTTCCGTTTCATGCGAATATCAATTAATCGGTATCTATGCAGCATACTTTATCTCGGCAACGGTGTCCACAGGTAAACCTTTGGCAATGGCAAGCGAAAGATTATGTATCTAGCATGCTCGTGTGTGCAAATTTATTTTTACTTTTTTACGAGACATACATGCGCGCGAGCGTGTGTGCGCGTGTACGTATGTGTGTGTGTGTACGCATGCTCGCGTGTAATTGTAAAATTTCCTAGATGGTTTACCTTGAGCACAGATCAGTTTTTATTTTGCATTTTCTCACGGGTATTCGAAGAAAGGGTAAATGAGGGTTCGCGCTATTGTATGTCGGTCTGCATCGGCAAGATGCAGATTGAGGGCCCAATCTCACGCGACAGCACTATGACGGCGATCGCACGAAACGCGCGCGCGCGCTCTTTGCTTCGAGACAACTCGGCGATATCGGTATATTTTGTTACTCGCGGTACGACCGAAAGATCTTTCTTAAAACCTGATTTCTCTCTTTTTTAGCTGTCTATAGCCTTACTGCAGCATGGCAGAGAATGTTTTCTTTTCCTTTTTGTAGTGAGTGTGCGTGAGCTGAGAAAGCTGGGTATCAACAATAGTATCAACAATCGCGCACCTGGAAATAAAACGGACGGCGAACATCCGGGAAAGCATCTGAGGGCTCGCCGCAACGCGCACACTTTTCAAACCGCTCGAACTTCATCCAACATTAATCACAATAAGAACACAAACAATATACACACGACAGTTAACGCCGGACAGACTATGTGTACCCAGATTCCCAAGTTAAGGCCACGTTCACCAAAAAACTGTTTCGCTCATACTACTGAAGGTATTGTTTCGTCTGAGATTCTGGGCTTAAGTGCGAAAGAGAGTCGAATGCAAGTAAATAACACGGTAATGCTACCTAGTCGTTGTTCATTTGAAAAAGATACTTGTACCATCTTAGCCCCGTGCACATCACTCGTATGACGTAGAAAGGATGAGATAGAAGAATGTAAGGCTTGCATTTATCGTAGTTGCCTCTTCGTGTTGCCGTAGATTTTTAGAAACTGCTGCATTCCGCTTACTAAACGCGATGAAATTTTTTCATCAAAACGCCTTTACAAGTAGATTAAAAGATCTAAATTTATATTTATTAAGTACACACGAAGACAGATCAGACGTATGATTAAAACGTACATATACACGTCACACCATCGCAGTCACACATTTGAAAATTTTTTATAATTTTTTGGTAGACTTAATATTTATGCGATTTAGTAATAAGGTAATGTGATGAGACGACGTATCTTTTTCTTTCCCCCCCAATCTTTTAAATCGAGACAAAAGTTCGAAAAATCTATATTTTTATAAGTAATTTGATCTTTAATACATAAACGTAAATTAAAACTTACGCGTATTCTTCCTTGCTAATTAATTTTAATTACACCTGTCGCATAAATATTGTAAACGTGTTTTATAGTATTGAATTTTATATTGCAATTTATTAGATATATATTAATTCTGCTTTTGACCGAAGCAACACAATACAACACACGTAATTGCAATTTTAGTAAAGTACAAATAGTAGGAAGTATTTTATCTCAACATAAATTCCAACATTTAAAAAATGGTTTTTAACGCTTTAACTAACGAGGTATTTGCTATCGGGATAAAGTCACATTTTTAATACACTCCTACTATTTATCACTACAGGATACAAATCAAAGGATGCAAATAACAATGTTCCAAATATATCTTGGCTGTAAATATATTTTTTTTCTTACTTTTATCTTCTTTGCGATAGACCCTCTTATCCACTAGACTGATACGTGAGATCTGCATTTAATTTTCTTTTAATTAATCGACTACCAGTAGTCATTCTTTTACTGTCATCAAATTATAAATTGCCATTTGTTAAGTTTTATTGATAAGTACGGGCATTATTTCAGCATCCGGCAGGAAACTATCGGTTCCTGGCAAGCGAATGACAGGAACACCCCTAAGTAAGAGCCAGACGTTGCCTCGGAGCATGGGCAGATCGACGCCTATTCAACCTTGCCACAGAACCATGCCTATCAAACCGTCCTCCACACCACCCTCTGTGAAAAGGCAGCTGTCTGTGCCGGGCAACGGTTCGCCTATACGACGTCCAGGAACCCCCACTACCTCTAACAGTAACAGAAGCACGCCAACCAGAAAAGTACCTATTTTAAAGGGTGTGGATCCAAAACTCGCGCAAGTGATTCTCGACGAGATCTTGGAGGGAGGAGCGCCGGTGCAATGGGAAGACATCGCTGGTCAAGAGGTACGTCGTTCCGTCGCGATGTACTGTTGCGTTACTATCGTCGCTTGGTTACTGATTATAATATCGCGAGAAACGTCGCCTTCGTCCCTATTTATATTTTCTCTCAACTTCAACTTTCAGACCGCGAAGCAGGCTTTACAAGAGATGGTGATCTTACCGTCGCTGCGACCTGAGTTATTCACCGGTCTGCGAACGCCCGCGAGAGGATTGCTATTGTTCGGGCCACCAGGAAACGGAAAGACATTGCTGGCGCGTGCCGTTGCGACTCAGTGCAACGCAACATTTTTCTCAATCTCCGCCGCTAGTCTCACCTCGAAATACGTCGGAGAGGGTGAGAAATTAGTGAGGGCTCTGTTCGCTATCGCGCGGGAGTTTCAGCCCTCCGTTATTTTTATCGACGAGGTGGATTCGTTGTTGAGCGAGCGAAAGGATAATGAACACGAAGCTTCGAGGTATATACCTTTGTGTATTCTCTCTCTGTCCGTTTATACACACGGACAATATATCGATAAGAGAGCTATATCGATTTATCAAATTAATTAAATTAAACGTGTATTTTAGGAGGCTAAAAACAGAATTCTTAGTCGAGTTTGACGGTCTGCCGTGCAATCCAGAGGAGAGAGTGCTCGTTATGGCTGCTACAAATAGACCGCAGGAATTAGATGAGGCTGCACTAAGGCGATTCACGAAACGCGTGTATGTTACGTTGCCCGACGTACAGACGAGGATTGTGTTACTCCGAAGGCTCTTGGCCAAACATAATGATCCATTGACGCCGGAAGAGTTGAACGAGATGGCACTTGTGACGGAGGGATACTCGGGAAGCGATTTAACTGGATTAGCTAAAGACGCAGCGCTTGGGCCTATCAGAGGTAAATTGCTCAATTTCTCGTATTCGTTGTACGCTTTTTTTAAATTCGTTTTTAGTCTTATATTATGGGTGAAGATATGCACTTGGCCACTCATTTTATAATTCTTTACGATATTATAAATGTCTCGTCATTTTGAATACATGCACACATGCTGTTTTCCAGCGATAAAAGTTAATTTTTCTGCATGTTTACCGCGACAAACTCTTAAAAATTTTATTTAATTTACTCAAAGTCAAGTCTAATAAAAATCTGAAGAAAGTTTCATCAAATTTTTTTGTTGCGCTTTGAAAGTGTAGATCTGTTACATCTTGTCTGTATGGTTTAACTACAAGGCGTATTATCGTATCATTCTCAGAACTGAATCCAGATCAGGTGAAGGAATTGGACCTCAATTCCGTTCGTAATATCACAATGCAAGATTTCCGTGATTCCCTAAAGAGAATTCGCAGATCCGTTTCGCCGGCAAGTTTAGCTGCCTATGAGAAATGGAACTTCGAATACGGAGATGTGAGTCTTTGATTTGAGATAAGCCGCTCGAGCGAGAGGCTCCAGAAATAATCGTGCGTTTCAGTTAAATTTAATCTGCAAACTAGAACGGGACTAGAAGCGTTTCAAAGTATCGAAACCATGTGTGAAGAACCATGTAATCCCGTCAACACAATAGTACGGTTCTTATATTTTTATCCTGCCTTACAAACAATTTTGATGTTTACGAAAAAGACGGCAGTGAAAAGCTAAAGAAGATATTGTCCTTCAAATCCTTAATGGATTTTTGTCTTTTTGATGAAAAGTCGACATACTTACTCATCGTTATCGCATTTCACATTAAACTTAGCATGATTTAGTAATCGCATAACGAATCTTTTGCGACAAATGAAACTTGGGCTCAGGTTCGAATGATTTAATGTCAAATGTATCTTGAAAAATATGTTTCGCATTAATTTTATAAAATATATAATGTGCTCCATGTGTTATATCCGGCGTGAGATCGGACTTACAATTTACAGTTCAATACATAGCTTTAATGTTTACCAGTTCGATATTGAAGAAGGCGCGTCTTTATTATTTATGCTTATTTATATACTCATTATCCTTACGATTTACAGTTCCTTTGTAACGGTTGGCATTTGAAATCCGTACTAATACAGTGCTGCTTATTACGATAATTTGCATTTAATATCAGAGTGTTGGCAATTAACGCGTTAGACACTTGAAAAATAAGCATTTAAAAGAATGTGATTAAGAGCACATAGTTCTGCAGTTAGAGGGAATGTATCCTTTTAAAGTTGTAAATACTTTTAATTATTGTCGTTTATAAAATTGACACGAGCAAGTTGAATACAATACGCATGACCCGACTCGTTATTAGAGCAGCAATAGAAAGACTACATTTGCAAACGGAACGGTGCACGTCCAAAACAGATAATAAAAAATATGATCTATCAATGACACATGTAAGAAGAAGACATTATAGTTGCGTAATTACCATATTCGTATGACATAATAGAATATACAAATATGCAAACAAGTATCTCCGTAATATCCGTGAAATCGAACGGAAAATAGTAAATCTCATCTTACGCGCGTCGATTTTGTATAAATTGCACTAATAGGTGCGCCCTTCAAGTGAAGTTTCGAATGTTAATCTTGTTACGTTTGATACCATTTCGAAGATTCGTTTGATATTTATTGATATAATGCGTTAGGAGTCACGCGGCCATCACGATGTAAAGACCCACGGGCAAAGGAAAAAAAAAGCGATGATCTGAGGAAAGGGGAGAATGTGAGAGATTCTGTTTTAATACAAAATTCTATAAGACAACGAACTGAGAATCTAATCTGTGCTATATGAAATCCTAAGTATTTATCTATAAGGATTACGCGTAAGCTCGACAAACATTGTTATCGTATACACAAGAGAATGAAAGAAATCAACATATATATACATATAAATATAAAACATATACGGACACATGATTTTTATGACATTTATCTATTGCTTCCGATGCTCAAAAGTAGAATAACTATGCATGTATAATGTATTAAACAAATTAATATATTCAACACGGAACTATATTATAACACGCTGCAACTACAGTATAACACGAATTGATTAATCATCCCGGATCAATGGCGATCATCCGTGATATCGTAGTGGTAGGGTAACGTCCCTAGTAGTTTTGTAGAGTATAAGATTTACCGTAACACACTTTATTAGATAGCGAATTATTTTCCAATGAGTTTCACTGCATACAATTCTCCTCTGATACAGCGGAAGAATAGAAGATGTTATTTGCAAAGAAAATTATTAGTTATTTAACAATAGACCTCTCTGTGTATGAAATAGAACACGATGCGTTCGTTAAATAGATATATTCCATAGTAGGTAAAGCATAAGAGGTAAAATGTAACTCTTTACTTCGCGACGCGTAAATCTGACATTTCGAGATTCGCACTGTTGTAATTATAAAAAAAAATCGTGTGATGCTGAACAGCATTCAAGAGCTGTGATGTTACTGCGACGACAAACTTGATACTTTCGCGGCGCTTTAATATGTATTTAAATGCACACAAGAATGCGATATATATATACAAATATTCTCGTGAATCATAATTCTGGGTCTTTCCGGGAAATTTATTAATTTTTCTAGATGGGAGCGTACGATACCGCGATGAGGGTTCGATTTATTTGTGTTCTCTTTTTAACGCGTTAACATATGAACGGAGCTTCGGCATCGTCACGATGCTGACTCGACAGTTTTATCTCCAAATTACTTTGTGATATTAGTTTTTTATATTAATCTTTGCGCACTGCCTATGTAGATTATAATATTGTACGTTGTATTATATATGATATTGCAAAATATGAATTACGTTAGTTATATTAAGTTTGAAGTTTATGATGATTTTGCACAACAAATTGTTTCGCATATGAAGATGAATTATTCAAAGACCCTGGCCTTCTATTGTGGGACACGCTGAGCCTTGATTAAGTTATTTTGCTACTTTTATAACGTATAACGGTAAAACAAAAAATTGAGTAAGAATAATAATCGGGTATAATGTTTACGCTAAATATTATACCGTTTAATCTAATGGTAAATACATGAGCTGCAAGTTAAAAAGGAAAATGTTTGTGCATGCGAGAAACTTCTCCCTGTTAAATATTATCTTTCTGTGGTTTTGGCGTCATATTTAACTGTTTTACAAGTGATTGTATCGACAACTTGCAAGTATCCACAACCCATTAATTAATATTGGTGTATTTTCCTGTGACAAATTTATCAAATTACTCATGATTTTCATTAACTTGTAATCAATCTTTTCCAAGAGAGAGAGAAAGGTGTGACCCGTATACATCCAGCAGTATTATAGAGTACTTTCAGTAAGTTACATTGTAAATTACACGTTAGATTGCCACGTAAAATTTTTACCAAGTGTTCTTTGGTAATGTATACTATTCTAACGTTCGTAAGTTCGCGAAGGTTGATGATGGCGAAACGACTCTTGTATCGAAACATTAAAATAAAATTACACCATGGTCTTTTCTTGCATCATCAATGAGCATGAAATTCTTTCATTTTTGCCTACGTATGCGTATTTGCCTTTCAATATTCATCCACATTCGCGAACTCACGAACAGTATAAGCGTATCTTTATACCGTGGTAGTCAACGTCCAACAGAGTAATTATTACATATCTATCCAATAGATGTTCACCATAGTAACTCGATTAAATCCCTAATGTAAGATTAGTACGGCAGAATTGTACAAAACTGTAAAACGACGGTATTTCATCGGTGATTGATTCGAGGAATGCGTTTTTGAAACATGTAATAAATGTGCGTACAAATTATTTCCCCATATTCGCGCTTCTTCTCACAAGCGAAGCTTTAAAAATAATCGACTCGCAATTTCTTTTCTTTTTTTCTTCCCTCATTTCGTTAGTCCGACATTTAAGAGGCATGATTCTCGTAGGAACATCATGTATAGGAAATAATTATTTACAATGTTCCAAGCTTTTTCCTTTATCAATAGATGGTACTATTATGCGAATACCGGAAAAGGTCGTAAACCTTGGCGTAATAAAGCGATATGAATGTTATTTTTCGCATGAATCGTCGTGTTGAAACGTCCGCAAGTGATTCCTCGAGAATATCTTTCCAATTATTGCGGATGGTCGTTGTAAGAGTGTATTGATTGCAAAATAAAACCGTATTACATGTATTTGGATATTGTTAATTTTGCGCCAAGTATCATAGCGATTAACGTAAGCCTTACCTTATTCGATAATTATGAAGAAAGGTAGATAGATCAGCGCAAGTGGAAGAAACGTCTTAGCTGGAGATCAACGAAATAACGCACGACATTATGTATTTTAAATATTTATTCCTTTTTTTTCATTCAAAAGGACAATTTGTTTTTATTATAAGATAACATTATCCTAAGCATCTTCGTGGGTTCAAAACCCCGCCGTACCTAAATTACTCTTTATATAACATTTTTTGTTTTCCTCTCTTATCGATTTTTTTTCTACCGATTACATCGCAGGCAACTCCGTTCTCCCTTTAAACTGGCTCTCCGGTTCGATATCGTTTTATTCGCAACCAAAATCGAATCGTTACCACGCCCGGCTCCACTCATTTTGTTTTTTTTTTTTTTTCCCTCGTTTACCTCTCGCATCTCGTTTATATACTGACTTTATACAAATTGGTTTTGAAATTTTTTTTTATGGCATTTTACCGTCGGTGGTGAACTGAGGCGGCGACAAGCATTCTCACATGTCAAACATCATTGGAAATAATCCATCTCGATCCTTCTCCTTTTTATGAATCTCTGCGAAAAAATGAAAATGAAACAGTGTTCCGTCGTTCTGCAAACGGAGGACATATTATCATTCCGTCGGAACGGTATAATCGGAACCTGAACTCCATTCAGAAGAATGCAACGGACGCGACGCAATCACGCAAAAAATCACGCGCGAATCTAATAAAAGAAGTTGTTTTTCGTAGAAAACAACCGCGTGTAATTGGTAGGGCTCGTGTGTCCAGGTACTAAGGCACCGAGATAACCAATTAATTAATTATATAATTTCGCAGTCATATGCCGGTAAAATTCCAAATTTTCGCGCATTTTGAGTCTCGTACTCCGAGACCGATTCCAATCATCGATTCTTTTTTTGTTAAAAAATTGAAAAAGGGAGCAGTAAACGATGAACGATGTCGCATCTACGAGATGTATTCGTTAATTGATACCTTGGCAATTAGCGTCGACACCTTCATGGTTTAATTCCCGATTCGGGATGTTGCGTATCCCCGAATTATGTAACGTACGCTAAATCTCTTCCGATCGGTAGCCTTAGAGGGCCGAATCACCCCGAGCCCTACAAAAGCGATCAGCGCGGGATACCGCGAAGAGAAACGAAAGCAAACTATCGTTAATTGTGCCACGCGAACTTCCGTTACACGTTGACTTGGAAGACACGAGGGAATCGAATCGTGTCACGTTATTATCATTATCGTGTCACGTTGTCATTTTTAATCGCGTCCACGACCTGCACGACAATAATAATTCGCAAAAACCGTACGTAATGTTATATCCACGATTGTCAATCGGATCGTTCCCCGATCGTTCCGTCGCAAAGAGCAAAGATTACCGTTTACCGACGTCCGCGTAACAAGTAACCAAACACGCGTATATACGCTTTCAATTTTCATACACGCGTCTTAGGTCCCGAGATCCACCCAGGCTCATCAATGACTCGTCCCCTCGCTCGAGAAAAAATATCCCCGATGGAAGTACGCGCGCGTTTATTCGTTTATTATTATCGTTAGACTTAAGTTACATTTATTTATTATTCTTCGATTAGCTAGGTCGTCTATACAAACGGCGAGGAGTCATTGACGTTACGGTATGACGATGGAGTACGTTAACGTCCGATATCTCTTCGGACCTCTCCAGCTATGTACCCTCGTCGCACCAGCGGCGATCGATCCTTACATTTATTCCTTTTCTCAAAACCACGAGCATTCTCGTAAGAGAAAAAAAAAAGAAGAAAAGAAAAGAAAAGAAACCGGTAAGCGCAACGTGTACATCGCGACCTTGTTCATTTGCGGATGGAGCATAATGTTCGAGATACACACACCGAAAGTATAGTGACGGGTGTACGAAGAGAGTGCGAGCCGACGCGTACCATTTAACGTACAACATCGCAGCAATTAATGTATTTTGAGCTTGCACTCGTGTACGAGGGAATCTCGATTCGTGTTATCTTGATGATGTCTTTAGCAAAAAATTCACGCACGCACATGCACGCGCACGCACGCATACGCACACATACATACTCTCTTTCTTTCATTCTTTCTCTCTCTTTTTCTCTCTCTCTCTCTCTCCCTTCTGTTACCCCTCTCTGAAGAGAATCATAGCAAAATTTTATACATTAACCACCGACGATAAATATCACACAACGAGATAAAGTTGTAACTCGTTTACTCAACTCTCGCAGAATTCATTTGTTAGGGGAGCCCCGCACACGCCTTTAGCATACACGCGTCCAAAAGTCTAGCTACATCACAGGCGCCGTGTCTAGCTAATCTCGCTTCTTTTTTCTACCTTACTAACTACGTCCGATATTAGCAGTTACTCTCCGTTTTATTTGTATATCTCAAATGAACATTCGTCGCGCGCATTGTTCATCGACGATCCGAGATTTGAAAGGAAGTGGGGGGGTAGGAGTTGAGAGTCGAGGTGTCAGTGGCAAAAATATTAAAAAGGTATCAACAACGCAAAGATTTGCCGCATACATACGTCACTTGCGCAGCACAACGGGTGCGGGGCTCGGTTTTGAGTTTCGGGGGGGGGGGGGCAAGGGGGGAGGGGAAGGCCGCGAGGAAAAGTTTGGAGATATACCTGGTTCAACGTTATATATATGTATATCCAGAATGCGGAAATCGCGAAATCCCGATCGGAGTTTTAGCGCTGAACCGAGACGTGTGCAGCGACGATACTCGTCGTACGAGCGCCGCATTGTCGAAGCATCGTCACTACGTGAGATTTTACGTCTCGATATAACGTTACGCGCCCGTCCCGTGACGGTAAACGGAGGAAAAAGAAAACAACCTTCAGCCGTTGGAACGAATCGATCGTGCGCACAAACAAAGAGAGAAAGAAAGAAATAAAAACTCCGGAATACCAATCGTATTTTTTTTTCTACTATTGCAAAGCGAAGTCGCATCTCAATCGCGTTCGGAAACGATCAGCTCGCGCGTTGCGTTCACCGAAAACTCGAATGTAAAAATGTTGAAGTAGGTATATGTCGGAACGGATCTTCGCGAATAACCCCCGGGACAACTATTATCGTACGTAACAATTAGCCGGTCAACGATCAGTTTCATTGCGTGGGGTACTGATGTGGCATGGTGTATGTTACCATAGTGGGCTGCTGGCCCGGTGGCAAGGGCGCACTCGCCGTCGGCGGTGCCGCGGTGGCTTGCGTCGGTTGCCAGGCCCCCGCGCCTGGTGCGGGCATCCTCATGCTGTTCATATATTGAGCCTGTTGCCCGTAATATTGACCGTAGTATTGAGCGGGCTGCAAGAACTGTCCCTGCATTTGCGGATAGCCCTGTGGATACCAATAACCCATCTGTTGGCCGTAGCCGTACGCGTATTGTCCCGCTCCCGTTGTCACCTGTCGCAAAAAAGATTAATTCATTCATTTATATAATTCTACATAAACGTTATTAGTTTCTACATAAACAATATGACAAAGGATTAAGTGATTTGCATAGATCTAAAAGATTTGCATAGAGAGAAAGGAGAGCTTTCGATAAGAGTCTCTCAAAAGTATATAAACAGTAACCTGTTGAGCCTGGTGATTGGCATTAGGACCCACGCTATTCGGATCGCCGTTCTCTTTCCCCCAAAAACATTTAACGATGCTCCCGTTGATTTCTGTGTTATGCGTCGATTCGATGGCGTGCGTTGCGGCCTCCTTGGTCGTGAACTTAATAAAGGCGTATCCCTTGTCTTTGAACACTCTTATGTCCTGAATGGTGCCGAACGGGGAGAACGTTTTCTTTATCAGCTCGTCCGTGATACCGTTCGTAAAACCCCCGCAGTACACGGTACAGTTGGTCGGACTACTTTGGTTATAAACCTGTTGGAAAACAATGAGAAGAACAATGAGAGATCTTAGCACGTAGAGAAGACTCAGCGTCGATCAAGAGGTAACAGATAAATAAATTCTCTTGCTTTCTCATCCCGAATCGCTAGAGGCAGCCGTACGTCCCGACTCTTTTACATCGGAGTCAATTGTCAAGTCATCGTCGTAGAGTAAAATCTAACAATCGGAACGTTTGTCCGAAGCGGAGCTAACGCAAACCGGTCACGTTTCGGCGAAGTAACGGTAAAAATTGTTGGTTACGTTCGCAGACGGGAGGGTGGCGGGAGGTGGGGAAGGGAAGGAGAGGGTTAACCGGGGCGATTACGTACCTCGTCGTAGTTGGGTTTACTATTGTTGGAATGCCGCGGCCTCTCGGACCTCGGTGGCGGCGGTTTCCTAGTCGACCAGTTGGTCCGGATGCTACGCGAGCCGAGCCACTGGCCGTTCATCGCGTTGATCGCCGCCTCGGCCTCGGACTTTTTGACGAACGACACGAACGCGTAGCCCTTGCTCTTGAGCGTCTGCGGGTCGCGGACGATCCGGCAGTTGCTGATCTCGCCGAAGGGCGCGAACGCCTCCTTGAGCGTCTGCGTCTCGATCTCCGGCGACAGATCGCCGACGAATATGTGATGGTGATTGCTGGTGTCGAGCTTGGGCTGATTGCCCGGGCTGGTAGCCCAGTTAACCTTCATCTCCTTCTCGAGGAACGACCGTTTGTTCATGGCGGCCAGCGCCGTGGCCGCGCACTGGTGATTCGTGAACTCGACGAAGGCGTACGGGTCGTTGCCGGGTTCGCGTATGATCTTGCATCCCTTGACGGCGCCGATCTGCGAGAAGAGCGCGCACAGAAGGTCCTCGGACACCGAGGTGTCCAGGTTGCCCACGTAGAGCGTGCGCGGATTGCTTTCCTCGCTCATGGTTCGCGCACCCGCGCTCTATGCTACGGACGCACCGCACCACACCGCCGCGGCGAACGGCACCACTTTCACTTTTCGCTCGCCAGCAGGATCACCTCGACGAGCTCTCGCGCCTCGCGCCCGGTTTCGTTTCGATTCGTTCGTTTCGTACGTTTTTCGCTACTCGTTTCGTTCGCACGCACGGTCGCTCGGTCGCTCGCTCGCTCGACTTCCTCGCTCCCACTTTCCCCTCTAGTCCCCCTCGACCGTTCCGCGCTGTCGTCCAGCGCTCCTATAATCCTCCACGCGTCACACGCGTTTTACACCAGTTTCACACGGGTTGGTTATCCGCGGGAATCGCGCGATCGCTGCCGACGACTGCGGCGGTTCACATCACTCGCGCGGGCCCGATCGTTCGCGCGAGGGCATCGAACATCATCCGGGCGCACCGCCAGGATCTTACCGATCCGTTAGGTTTTTTTTTTGTCCTCTCCTTTGCTCGCTCGCGCGCACGGACACCGACAATAAGAACGCTAAGCTACACCCAGCCTCTACGTCATACTAACATAAAATGGCCGCCCCGCGCCGCGCCACGCCGGACGCCGCGCCGCTCCGCTCCGCGTCGCGCCGCTTCGCGCGGCCACTCGCTGCTTTCCCTTTTGGCTGGCTCTCGCGAGGCGCGCGGGCGATGGCGAACGCGTGAGAGAGAGCGCGTTTGGACGCGTCCCGCAAAACGTCCCGGACGCGCCCGCTTTTCCGCGAAATCGCGAATCCCCCCGCGGTATGTATGTAGGCTGAAGACGCGCGCGCGCGCGCGCCCGGCACCTGGCCGCCGATCAACCTGGGGAAACCGGGTGGAGATTAATTCGGGACTACCGACGCTCGAAATTCGCCGATGGGACACGTGTCCTCGTACCGCCCGTCGTCGTCGAGCTCTCGTAACAGGTAGCGCGAAAACTCGCGCGAACCATCGGCCTCGCGAAAATTCACTAGGCGTTTCGAGGTTCCGTCCCTCGTCCCTCTCGACGGTTCGTCACAACGGAAATTGGCCTCCGGCTGTGAAAATGATGCCTTACGAGGGCGCTGCCGCGCGCGTGATCCGCGGGTCTGTTCTTTTTTCTAAGAACTTCCTGAACTGGGATCGACGCGGTGTAGCACGAGATTTGTTCGTACGTTGCTTGAAACTTTTGAAATTCCTCCAAAAAATGCTAAACTGAAAAACGAAATAAATATATGTACATTGGGCGTTGGAGAAAGAAAAAGAGAAGATGTAGGTGCAAA